AGCCTCTCTGAGCCTTGGAAACCTCCGTGGATGGAGGCACCATCCTGAGGCCGGTGCTTGACCTGCCTCAGCCCACAAAGCTCCTCCTCAGCTTGCCAGCTCTCCCCTGCCGCCAGATTTTGAAGCCCCCCTTCCCTCCCACCCTCACGCTCCCCAGTTCCTGCACTGTTGGGTCGAGCCCCTGCTTGGTAATCCACATGGTTGGATTGGGCCTGCTCAGTCATAATAGCCTCTGCTTCTGCACCCCAAAATGTCCACCCCCCCTCCCTGCAGGAGACCAGCAGGATGGTTAGGGTGTCGAGCCTCTTGTAACCCCCAGACCCCTCTCTACAGGCCTGCAGCCCAGCCAGCCATTCTCCATGCTGTATTTGGGCACGCCATTCTCCTGTCCCGAGCGCAGGAATCAACAGCATTAGAAATGCTCCCACCTGCCGTGTGCTTTTCCAGCAATTTGCAACTGAAGAAATTGCCCTGTTTGGTTATGCGTAGTCAAAAACAAAAAGGGAGTTGAAACTGAAAGCCCGCATTTTCCAAGGGGTGGCTTGAGCCTAAGAAGGCTGAAAACCAGGGGCTAAGCTCACGTGTGCTATAGTTAAGTGCTCTAGTTAAGTGCCTAGTTAAGACTAGGCTTTGTAGTCTTATTTATTCTGTGCCGCCCATCGCAGCAAAGGCTCAGGGTGGCTTACAGTAAGAAAACAAAAACTTAAGGGACCACATCAACTTAAAAGGAAGATAGACCATCAAAATAAAACAGACACCCCTGCCATTTCATCCCCAAACAACATCTCCTCCCAGTTTTATTCAGTACATGCCTGGCCAGATGGGAAGTTCTTATAGCACTTCTGAAAGATGTCCAGGCTCAGCCTGTGGCAAGCCTGAAGTCGGGGAGGAGTGGGGTTGGTCCAGTGCTAATGAGCAACTCCTGCCTCCTTACCTGCAGTGATGGTGTTTGATAAGATCTCTTGCAAGTGCTGTGAGGATGATGTGGGAATTGAAGGGTTTCTTCTGCAAAGGGTTTAACGTTCATTATTCTGGTTGTCTCCTCAATTCTGTCCCATACAGGCCTTTGAGGAGAAACATCTCGCCTCCCTCAACCCAATCAAGCAGTTTTCTGTGTGGTTTGAAGAGGCCATGCAGTGCCCCTCAATCGGAGAAGTGAATGCAATGTGCCTGGCCACCTGCACCAGGTGGGTTTTGCAAAATAGAAATGGTCAAGTAGCTTGGTGTTGCCAAATCTCTCCTGCTGGTATCTTAGGAAAAAAGTAGAGGAAGCTATTCAGTGCTGCTGTGTATTGTATCCTCTTGTTGTTAGCCTGTTTGTCTTGGTCTGGGTAAACTGGCAGGTAGAAAGAAGGTGGCTTCTGGAATATTTGTGTGGAGAGTAGAGCAGTCCTGGAGCACACTTCAGGGTTGGTAGGGCACTCTGCATGTAGAGACAGAGCTGGAAGACACCACTTCGGTCATGAGGTCCAGTTTCCTGCTAGTCTAAGCAGCCAATTCCAGTAAAGGTATGTGTGTGCCTGTGGGTTTGCCAGGACAGTGGGGCCCCTAGTCCTGACTGAGCTGGGTTGCATGTTTGCTACAATTGGATGGACCAATAGTCTAATCTCAAAGACTGTCAAAGAAGGTACAGACCCCAGTAATGATTCTTATATGAAGCATTAGCGCAGGAATAAAAGAGGATAGGCTTTGTTTCCAGTTTCAGCGGTTACTTAGTTCATGACCTGAAGCAAGAAAGTAAGTTTCTCTTTGTCTTGCCATGGGCAGGAAGAGCATCTAAAGTGTGCAGTCATCAGTGTACATGTTTCCATGACCAACAGCTTTTCTTTCCTGTTTTAGGGATGGGAAGCCTTCTGCCCGGATGGTGCTCCTGAAGGGGTTTAGTCAGAGTGGCTTTAGATTCTTCACTAACCTTGAGAGTCGGAAAGGAAAGGAGCTGGTGAGAGCTGCATGACCCTGGAGCTTGTGGATTTGTGTGAAACATGTCACTGTGGGACCGGTTTACAATGTCATACTGCATCCTCTTGAGATGAGGGTGGGCATAGTGCCACCAGCCGGGATGAGGGATGTCTGGGGGTATACAGTGGTAAACAGCAAGCAGCTGAAGGAACCCCTAGTTTCTATTTTCCATCCTCTGAGGGCACCAAAACTATTTAGTTGACAGGATCTTCCCAAGTATTGAGATCTGCACCAAGCTAACATTGAGTTGAGTGGATTACAGCTACCTTATCTTCAGTTCAGATGAGCATCCCACAGATATACTTCAAATTCCAGCGTGCCTTGAGCTGCGTTGTTCCAAGCATCTTATTCTGATGAGGGGTGACATTTAATATGTTAGAACTGGTATGGTCTGTAGATCATAGGTCTCAAATGTCTCCAAGTCCCAAACTAGGGAGCAGAGTTAAAGGTGGGGAAAGAGGGTAACTGTTGTATGTTTTAAAGTTTGAAAACCTACTTAATTGAAAGTCCTTTCTTTTTTTTTTCCCGTCCTCCCTTGCACACTTCAGGACTCCAATCCTTTTGCCTCAGTTGTCTTTTATTGGGAACCCCTCAATCGTCAGGTGAGTCGTCATGCCATCTGACAGCAACCAGGGATGCTCAGACCATAATGTCTAAAGAAAGCTGTAGAGGAATAGGATCAGCACCTGAACTGTGATTAGTTTGGGGGATGCCCTGGTAGGATGTGTTTGGGTGTGAAGATGTCACAGCCTGTTTCAGAACCATGCAAAGCCTCCTTTGTTCTTGGTGGCATTAACATTAGTGTAACTTTTATATCAGTGTACGAAAGTGATGTGAATTACACTCGTGTTTAGAGCGAACAAATGACTGGTCTACCCGGGTACCTGGTGCAGTAAATGCTGTTGACGCCTTGCCACCAGCTGGCAGAGAACCAATAAATTGCATGTTTGCATTATGCATTTGGCTCCTCTGGAATAGGAACAGACACGTTTCTATATGCCAATATAATTTTCACTGATACCATCTTATTTTTTTATTTCTTCACCCCCACCCCAAGGTAGTTTTGTAACATAGTATGGTAAATTCTATCCATTTAGATGTATATGCCACGAGCCCACTCTTGTTTACATTGGTGTAAGAAAGTGCTAAAGGTGCAGCAAGCTCATAGAGGACTTGGAGTGAGGCGGTGTGGAAAGGGGATATAGGGGCACACTGACCATTGTTGGCTATTGGGGGGAGATGGATAGATGTGGGTGAGGAAAAGGGAAGGCCTACCTTCTCAGGCTTCTGCTGCTACTGCAGCAGCATCAGCTCCACTTCTGAGGTAGCAGCCCTATGGCCAGGCTCCCTGCAGGCTGACCCTGGTACCCCATTTGCTTCCTTCCTCCCCACCCCCAGCCCCATACATACATATTGGGTGCAGGGCTGTGCCAGCTTTGGCAAAGATTCCCAAGGAGAGAAGGGAGCCCCATTCTGCTCATTCCTCTTGCCCTCCCTTCTCCTTGCTCCCATGGCCAGGCAGGGGCCACAGCAGACTGCTGGCAGGGGGGATCCCACCACCACCTTGTAGTTGCCACCTGAAGTAAATGCCCCACTCACCCCACCTCAGTTATGCTGCTGAGTAGTATCTACACCAGTATGAATGTGTTTGGGTCCAAACCCTCAGAGTGCAGACAGAAGGGGAGTGTATGTATTATATTCTCAATCTGATTCACAGTTCCTGTCTATCTTGGCCTAGGATGGCTTCTTAAATCAGAAGTTGTCCATGCCACATGATGCTGCAGTATGTAGCATATCAAGCTTCACAAGGGTTTTGGTTCCATGAACCCAGTGGATTATTTTGCTACAGATTTGTGCTTGGCTTTGCTTTCAGTTATGAAGTGCACTGAGAAAGAAAGCTCATGCAGTAGGGA